AAGAAACTAGAAATCCAAAGATTTCTTTTGACGAAACCAAAATCCAGATTTTTGCTTTATCGCAAATCGGATATATATTAAGTAATCGGAATTAAAATAAAGTTATTTAAATCAAGAAACTAGAAATCCAAAGATTTCTTTTGACGAAACCAAAATCCAGATTTTTGCTTTAATCTGTGTCTTCTAAGAATTGCAAGACAAAAAGACGTTGTTGTTGTTTTCGTCAGGAAATATTGTTCCTACGTTCAGAGCTTCTGTAAATAGCCACTCCGATGATTCCTTTTAGGATGAAATACGTATAAGCGAATATACAGAGGCACTACACGTGAAATCAAATCTTAACTGTCTTTTCTTTTAAAATTATTTAGTTTCTTAACATTAAATTAGGGTTATTAGTGAGTAAGAAAACCCTACGGACTTTACTGTAAGTTTGTTTTTTTTATTAAATTACATAGTAGCATTAGATTAGTAGAGGGCATGCTTAGGGCATGTCTGTGAATTTATGCTTTGCTTTCAGTGAATTCTTAAAATTTTTTAAACTCTACATAGATGTTAGCTCCTAGACATAAACCAAATATTATTCAAGTTGAAAAAGAACTTTTTGAATTAAAAAATAGATTTCAACAAGGTCAGAGTATGTTAATAGAAGTGAATAATTTATCTTCTAGGATTAAAAACACCAGTAGGAGAAAAGTTTAATATAAAGGTACAGATTTCGGTCCCTTTTTCGTCGTGATAGACCTAAAAATCCTATTGATATTGGCAAAATTTAGATGGTATAAAAGACATGAGTAGAAAAATTATAAATAGAATAGGCGTTCAATTTAATACCTCGAAACAGGCAAATACGATCCTAAACGACACAGACATCCTTAAGAAGGGATTTCTAGCATATATTACACAAAAGTGTTAACATCAAGAAGCATTATTCAATATGTCAGTTTGAATATTTCTATGGAAAATATATTATAAGAATTTGATAGACAAAAATACATAAATGAGTTAATGGTCTTTCAAGACCTTACATTTTTTAAAAAGTAGGCCTTCTCTATTAGAGTATTATTTACTCAAGCTATCCAGAAATCCACTTCCTTTGCTTCCCATTACCCAAGTCAAACACATGTGGTCCCAGTCAAATGAAAAAAATAGGGGTCATTCTAAAAGACACCAGTTATGACAGCGAGGTCCAGAAAATTACCTAAATTGCATGTTTTAAATAAATTATATGATGCACAAAAGCATATATAAGTTCAGGGTCCAAGTTATGCACTTTCATAATCAAGCAATCCTGTATATTCTTACGGTAGTTTGACGTTAAAAAACATTGATTTAACTTCTGGATGTCTTAAAGTAAATTTAATTTAAGTAAAAGTAATTTTGGTTGAGTTTTAATTTATCTCCTATATAGTCACCTTAGTACTACAACTAGGCAACTGCAAAAAAAAATTCTTACCACTTTTTTAAGTACATCAATGCTTATCTAATTGACTCATCACATCTCACCTGGTGAAATCTAATAAGAGTGTGAACTCTTTTCTTTAAACGAATTTTCATTGGCTTTATTTGAACGGAGGGATACCGTTTCGGGTCAGGATGGTATAACATTTTCTATGTTGCAACATCTTCCAGAGCCAGCAATAAATTTCCTGATCAATTTTTCAACTTATGTGTTAAGGAGGGAAAACATATTTAAACACAATGGAAATTGCAAACAATTTGTTTAATCCCAAAACCCAATAAAAATATAAAGTATCTTTCAGATTGGAGATCAATTGCTCTATCCTTATGTGTTAGTAAAGTTCTAGAGAACATTTAGAAATAAGGTTAAATTGGTATGTAGAACATTATCTGATGCTACCGTCTTTCCAAGCTTGCTTTGGTAAAGGTAGAGTGATGTCTGAAAACATTATTCATCTGGTCAATAAAATTTCAATGACTATTTCAAAAATCATTTCAACAACATTTCTCCAGCATATGATAAAATATCTGCTATCCAATTAGATGCTTTGGGAGATCTTAATTTGCCATGGTCAGTTATTGAGTTGATTAAACATATATTGACAAATCGTTCGTTGTTTGTCCGTAATCCTATTTTCTTTAATCTGTTAGGGTTTTAATCAAGAACTCTCATACAACATAATCCCATTTTATGTGCTCCTAATGACCCAGTATGCATATGATGTTACTCTTTATTGTTCCGGCTAGAGGTGGATGGATGTGGTGGAAAAATTAAATGGCACAGGTGGATGGTTGTGGTGGAAAAATTAAATGGCACAGTAGCGAATATATCTAGAAAACTTCATGAAATGGAAATGTGCTTGTCATCTTACAAAAGTCAAGCGATTTTTTTTATAGAAATAGAAATAACACTCCGAATATGGTTGCCTTCCAGAATACGCTAGGTACATAAGATTTATGAGGTAGCACATAACATTTTATTTCCTTGTCATTCCTGTCCACTTAATACTCAGAGTTCTACAGTTTATGAAAATATCAACTTTGGAAAAGAAGAAAATATCCAAACCAAGTTTATGTCATGGTACCTTGAAAATAATAGACATATAATACAAGATAAACTGATCGTTGCAATATCAACCGTTCCCCCAGGGCGACAGAGAAAACTGACGCAAAGCAGTTCCTGCATCGCATTCTTATTTGTTAGGTTTATCCACCACTTGACCTAAATGACCAATGAGAAGGCCACGTAGTCGATAAATCCGACCCATTAGACAGATATGCAGGGACTGCTTGATGTCAGTTTTCTCTGTCGCACTGGGGGAACGCCACTGTATTGCCGAAGTCAGTCTATCTTGTAATATTGGTCTATTTTGAAAACTGGTCTGAATATAAACTAATTTTCTCAGATGGATCCAAAGATAAACAAGGCAATGTAGGTATTGGGATATACCTTAATGAAAGCACATAACTAACAAGCAAGATTACCATCTTATAATTCAATTTGTTGAGCAGATGTATTTGTCATAAAAAAGGCATTACACTTAATTCTACAGAATAAATTTAAAAAAACTTAGTAGTGATTCAAAAAGTGCTTTGGAGAAAATAACAAGACCAAGTTATAAGGATGCAACCGACACACAAACTCTCCAGTTAAAACAAACAGCATAGAGAAATTAAATTGGCATGTATTCCAAGTTTCCCCAACCTGGGGAGAGGTATAATTACACAAATGTATCGTATGAGGAGTGGACATTTCAGTGTTCCAGTAATATTTATTTAGATTGAAAGTAATGAATACAAATCAGTGTTTATGTGGCACTTTAGGCACTTTATAGCATGTTTTTAAGCATGCACTAGATACAAAAGGGAGTCCCAGTTGTTTAGAAGGGAATTACAAGGTGATCCACCATTTATTGATGTGTGTAAACAAAAAAATTTAGACTCAAAGACATTACTCGCGGTACAAAAGTTTTTAGCGTCAACAACGATACATGTGCTGTTTGTTAATGTACTTTATAAGATTTTATCTGCTTGTTTGGAGTGCATGTGCTTAGTCCAGTGTGGTGTGGTATTACACCATCTATTTATGAATTGTCTATATTATTTCTATATTATGAATTGTCCAAAATGGACCATTTATAATAGAACTTATGTAAAAGAACTTCTCCTTGAACTATTGTTTCAAACTCAGAAGCTATGAGCTTAAGCCCATAATTACTTTTGCTCTTGAACAATCAGTATAAATACACAGATGTTGGCTATTTATGAATTGTCTATATTATTTCTATATTATGAATTGTCCAAAATGGACCATTTATAATAGAACTTATGTAAAAGAACTTATAAATAATTTATTTTTATTTTTTTCTCCTTGAACTATTAATTACTATTAAACTGGGAATAAGCCACAATTAAAGATAAAAATACATTTATTGACGTTTCAATTTCCACTTCGGAAATCGTTCTCAAAATACAAACAGTAAATTTACTGTTTGTATTTTGAGAACGATTTCCGAAGTGGAAATTGAAACGTCAATAAATGTATTTTTATCTTTAATTGTGGCTTATTCCCAGTTTAATAGTAATTAATTTACAATGCCACAAGAAAATAGCTTCAGAACAATACCTTGAACTATTGTTTCAAACTCAGAAGCTATGAGCTTAAGCCCATAATTACTTTGGGTATGGCTCTTGAACAATCAGTATAAATACACAGATGTTGGTCGGATAGCCCTGGTAGCTAAGGCCAAACAAATAAATGGAAGAAGAAGATATAAGGCTACCAACAAGGATAAAGCAAAAAAAAGCTACACATCATAAGGGTGAAACATATCGTTAGGCATTCGAATGTAATAGATATTTTTATGAAGTGGTTCTTTAAAGAATTACCAAAGCAAATGAAAAATTATGAAGTTGATTTATTAGCTGTACAGGAACCAAAGCAAAAGAGACAAAGAATTTCAGAAAAGAAGTTGATGTACAGGAGCACTAGACAACATAGTAAAGTCCAAAGCTGTCTCAAAGAAAACAAGGAAGCTTTAGAACTGTCATAAGATCGGCCACATCGTACGGATCATAACTGTGGACATTGAACAAAAATTCAGAAGAGATTAAAATATGGCAGAACAATACAATGCCTTCCCAATTTTTTTTATGTGAATACGTCGAAATAGTTAAAAGGACCCTGTTATTATTAACGTCGGGTCTGTAGCACCGCGTTAGCGTCGGCTCAACGGGACAATGGTACTACATTGGAGTACATTATACGAACGGCAATAACGCGACGTTATTAGCGCTCGTATAACAGGGTCCTAAAGCAAATTCGTTTTTCTTTTTAATTGATATGGTCAACAATCTTTACGTCACAATATCAATTTCACGATCATCTTGTTTGCGTGTCTTGAACGTATCGTATGTATGTTGTGTACGTCTCGTCTACTATTATACTTTTACTATATATTATGTACTCGTCTATTTCTTGTAAAGAGCGTAGTGTAGAATTTTACTTTTTGTTTTCTTATCAACCATGAGTTGTATTACAGATCGTTGAAGTATCGCCGAAAAGTTCAGCCGATCTGTCAGTCGGTACCAGAGTATGCGCGTATTGGAGCCAACAGTACCGTTGCTTGTACCCAGGAAGCATTGCAGAACCGACTTCGCCCGATCCGGAGCTGGATAATAAATTCGTTTTAGTTGAATTTGACGACGGCGATAGTGGTCGAATAGACTTAAAAGATATTCGGCTGTTGCCTTCAGATTATCCCGTTATTGGTAAGTAACAAACAATGATTTAATTAATATTAACCTTTTTTCTACTTTCCTTACTTCTCCACTTTCGGTGCACCTACAGCAAGCATCATTTATGGTGAAGTTCGTCGCGTAAGTATATAAAGTCAAAGTCAAACAATAAAAGTTGTACACAATTTTCCCCTTGTTGCCATATTTTAAATTTGAACAAATAGATAGGGAATAATTAGATTTTCTTGACATATCACTCCTATTACACCGAGCATTTCATTGGCTAGAACTAGTGACGAGTTTATATGACTTCATTATTAGATGAAGTGAGAATCGTAAATTGTAACTGACGTCTGTCATAATATTGGAATCAAAAAAGAATAAGACAAATTTTTAGGTTAAGATTATAGAGGCGCAAAATTTCGGGCCAATGCTTTTTAAATGCATTATTTTTTTCGAATCCTGAGAAAACTAATAAGTATTTTTGAGAAATTTTAACGCAGAATGAAGGACTACATTATTACCGAGGGCCGAAATCCCCTGAAAAATTCTATAATGTTTATTTTAAAAAGTTACAGTGGTGAAAAAAAGAAAGATAAAATTTAGTGTGATTTTTAATTACAAATATCTCATTCAAAAGAAACTTTTTGTTGATTCTAAGGGACTTTCGGCCATCTTTAATAATCTTTCGTTCTGTGTTTAAATTTTTGAAAAATATTTATTAGTTTTTTCAGAATTCGAAAAAAAATGAATGCATTTCAAAAACATTGGCCTGAAATTTTATGATACACTGATATTTCTATGGATCTAAAATAATCTTTTTATTGTGGAGCTTAAATATGTGAAAATATTATTTTCAAATTATATTTTAGACATTAGTTTTTCTCCTAGTTTGTGGTGTGTTCTTAAGCTGACAATGTGTGAACATAAAAACAGTAATATTGAAACTATGGAAGCAAAATGAAATGTTGCATTATGACCTCTTCTCCCTTTTTTTGATTAAAATTACATAAACATATGTTTTACAACTATGCTTAGAAATGAAATTCACAGTTATGTTTTATATGTATATTTACAAAATATTACAAACAACATGATGACAATACAAATATATATTAGAGCACATGTATTTTGCATTACATATATGGCATATACTCTACACATTGAACAAAATTTATTATAGGAATATCTAAGAAAGACATTACTCTCTATTTTCATTGTAAATTTAATAAAATTCTTCCAATGAAGTAAAAAACTTCACATTTTATGATGGTATTATACCATCATACAATCTGAAGTTTTTACTTCATTATACTTAAGTTTTTTATAACTATGGTATACAGCCAACCACTGGGATTTTCACTTTTATATTTCAATAAAATTATTGGAAATAAAAATACTTATTTTTACTGATCAAAATTAAAGTCTTCATCAGTGTCACTGTTTTCACCGTCTTCATTAAATTAATAACCACGTGTGCAATGTCATTCCTATCAAAACGTACCTCTCTTTCCCAAGAGTCATAAATGATTTTGTCCACATGTTGAAAAGTGTTTGACCATATTTCAGGAGTAATGGTTAATCATGCTTCTTTCCACATGGCCAAACAGTCATTTTTTTGTTGTTCCGTCCCTACCTATATGTCGATTATAATAATTTTTTGATATTCCCCAAATATGTTCAATGGGATTAAACATACAGTGATATGGAGGAAGACGTAGAACTCTATGACCCATATGTTCAGCCAACTGATCAACTTTATAAATTTTTGGCGGTTTATTTAAATTTACAATATTCAACATTTCTGCTTTTAAAAGTTTTTCATCGAATGGTAGTTTTTATTCCATAAATCACTGCTGAATCTTAGCCTTCTTCCATGATGTATTTGGAATTTTAGTGACGAAAGTACTGTGGTATGATGCATTATCCATAACAATAACAGAGGGTTCAGTTAAATTTGTAATCTTTTATATCTTTTATATCTTTTAACCATCAACTTTGGTTGTTTTCAAACTTTTTTTATCATTATCTTGCCAAGAAAAAAAAATTTATTTTACATTACATTACCAGCATGAAGAATAATAGATATGTCTTTTACCATCAACTTTGGTTGTTTTCAAATTTTTTATCATTATCTTGCCAAGAATGTCTGATTGAGCCATTTTGGAAAATCCAAGTTTCGTCTAAAAACACAAACTGATAAATATCTTCCTCTCTTAGTTGTTTATATGCCTTTAAGTATTGAATTCTTTTACAAACAATATCAGGAAGTTCTAGAAGGCCCCGGTGTGGATTGTATTTCTGCCACTTAAACCCAATTTTATGCAGTACTCTCCGTAAAGATGATTCACTACATTCAAATAGATCTCTCTCTTGTAAAACTGCATGAAGAGTTTTAACAGTTATATGTTGCTCAAAAAGAAAATTTAATCTATAGTCTATAATAAAATTGACAACAAAGTCTTACATATGTCAATAAAATATACTTACTTTTTTCATACATTTCATAAATTACATTTCGAATTAGAGGTGCATTATTGCAATTAGTTATCGGTTTGACAGGTCTCGGTCTTTTCTTAGGTGGAGAACATAAAGGTGTATTCTCTTTTGCGGATTGAGAAACTTTGCTGACAGTAGAAATACTCAACTTCAACGCTGATGCAACTCTCTAAAACAGTATTTTTAGTATACATAATTGTATTATCTGTTCTAAATAAAATACTTTCTAAATATATTTAAATAATAAGACCTACATACCTCTCTAATTGCTTCTAGTGGTAATAATGGACCACCGTTTTTCTTCTCTCTTTCAAAATATTTAATTAAATTTGCAATTAATTATTTGCAATTAATTGCTTGCAATGACTGGTCAAATGCGACGGCATTTTTGTTTTAACACAATTAAGTTAAAATATCCAAAAAATTGAATCGAAATCAAATCGAGAAACTAAAGTAACAGAATTTGTTTTGTAGACAGTTTATAGGTTTATATTTTAACCAACTTCACAACTATAAACAAATCTTACATAACCTTCTATTCGCTGTGAGCCGATGAGTAGAGGGATTTGACAGTTTTCACGAACGCTGTTAGTAGCAGTTTTGTGCATTTAACTTGTAAACATTCAAATAATGATGAATATGGATTTTTCAAAAAGAAAAAGATATAGCAGCTGTTGTATTGATACATGTAAAAATACTGGGTATAAGTGATTGTAAATTTTATTCATTTCCTATTGCCAAGCATAAAATATGTAGTTCAAAGAGAAAAATGGATTATTGCTATCAATAAGATTTTTGGTGTAGCTGGTTAAAATGGGATATCATGTGATATAGACTTAAAACCAGTATAATATTTAATATCCATTTTGATAAAATTAAAATAAATTGATATCTTAGCACTAAGGCCTACGCACACAAAAAATAACTGAGCAAAAACAGAATGAAAATGCAAAATGAAAACAAGACTTACAACGTTACAAGCATGATACTATGACTAACAAGATAGGATCTTCCCGTAGCACAAAATCGGTCGTGTTCACGCATGCCGTCATTGGAGAGTAGAATTTAAATTCTTGTTAAAGTTAAATGGGATTTGTATGCATTCTGTGATGAAATTACTAGACGAAAATAAGTTAAGAGGTTTAATAATTACAATAATCGTACACATAAGGATATCTCCAAACTATTTATTAAAGATTATTTATTGATACACACAAAAAACTGACATTTCGAACTTGCAACTCTCTAATGACGTCACGACTTATGCGTTATCTTACCTTCTTAGTCATAGTATCATGGTTACTACAGATAAAGGTAACCTTTAACCATTAAATATTTTCACATAAACTTCTTCTTTTTCTCCATGGCCTCTTACGTAAGTGGTCATCCAGTCGTAGGAACTTATATCTTAAATATTAAAATTATAATGAATAAAATAAAAAGGCGTAATTACTTTTACTATTAATTCTGTATATTCGTTCAGTAATCAGTTTACAATAATATTTTAGTTCATAATTTTGTATTTTTAGATAAATATCTATTTTTCTCGTTTTGTCATATTTCACTTACACCGATTTTACAAGAAAAGTACAAGTTTCAAACCGCGAGATAGCGCTACCGGCGAAGCTCACAGCGAATAGGACAACATGGGTTTGACACTTACAGTACATATAGTTATCTTTGTTTCACACTCTTGAATGACAAAGGGAAACAATGTAGCCGGTAGTTGCTGTGGTAAATACATATATGTTTTTTATTTGGCAACAGCGCTTTCCTGCAAAACTTAACGGTAGCGAAAAAACTTATATATGAGGAAAAATTTGTTGAATTTGTTTGCCGTCAAGTTTGTACCATTGAGTTATGACGTCATTAAATCTATGACGTGCACCGCTAATTGTTTGACTTTGAGTTTACATTTCAGTGGTAATAAAACAGTGGAGAGTTTGTCCTAAACAGCTAAACTAATACTTAACAGTAACTAAAATCTATGAGTGCCGAGCTTCCAATCGTTTCACTAGTGGAAGAAATCAACTAACCCGAGGACAACATATATGTCATGAGCTGCAACCCCATCATAATTGGCGTTTGCTGTACTTACTGAGGAACGCATTCTTACTCAGCCTTTTTTGACCAGGGCCCACTTTGATTTTATTATTATTAGTAGGGATCATAAGATTCAGCTTTGCACTCAATTGTATCAATCTAAGAATAATCTTTAATTAAATCTTTTAACAGGGAAGTATACATTGAGTGAGGTACCATAACATAATTCTTTGTTTGATTTTTGGATTCAAAAATTAGGTAGCAACTTTTATGAATAACAAGAACGTCTTAAGCCTTAATTATTTTTTAAATTTCAGAATATGATTTGAATCCCCTCTTGAGCCTTACTAAACGAAAAAAGAAGCCTTCAAAGAACATCACGTCTAAAGAAAACGTTCAAGAAGAAACAAAAGCAATAATCGAGCCTTTAATTGAAACAAACGTTGAAAATCCAGTCGATAACGATATGGATAAATTAAATAAACTCAAGGAACAAAAACATTTAGAGAAGAAACTATTGAAGAAGAAGAAACGTGAGAAGCTACTCAATAAGTTAATGCCGGAAAAGAAGAAGAGAAAGAAGCACAAGTGCTACGATAAAAAGTGCAAGGACAGAAAACATCACAAGAAACATAGGAAACACAAAAAACATCACGACAAGGAAAAACTGAAAGATGTAGCTAATAGTATTGTTACTGATCACAGTATTTTGCCTTTTGTGCAATTACCTCCTGCTAAGGAAGAAGTATTTGCGGAAGAAGAAGAAGACAGAGAAGTCGGAGAAGACAAACCTACCAGTATTGTAGATGTTAACCATGCTGTGGTAGTTTTTAACGAAGTTGAAGTGTCTCCGAAAAAGGTAAAAAATTCCTATAGAAAATAATCTGTTCTATTCTTTAACCAGTATTCGTCAAGAGTTTCATCTCAACTATATATTTTTTAATTGTATTTTTGAAGGAAACTATGTAACGTTTACTTTGTTTTTGATATAAATTAAAATGTTTTACAAAAGCGTAATAATTCTAATTGATAATTTCAGAAGAGCAATAAATTACGGGATCGTCAAGAGTCCTGCGAAAGTAGAAGCAAAATGAGTGCCTTTTTACCTGCGAGGCAGCTTTGGGGATGGGCCGGTAAAGAATACAAACGGTCGAAGGTTAAGGGACGGTTCAGAAAGTTCTTCTACAAGTCCATCCAGCGTGGCAAAGAAATTATTACGGTAAGTACATTGTTTATTGATTTTTTCCTAAAAGATTAAGATACTGAACTAATGCTAAATTTTTATGTGAATTTTGTATATTCAATGAAAAATTGTAAAAGTATATGAACTTTCGTACATTCGATTTGAGAAAATTAATGTCACCAATGAAATTATTGATTCTAAGGTAGTCACTTTTTTGTTTTAGTTTATTTTGCAGGATTTCCATATCCTTTAGAACTTTAAAAAATAGTTAAACTATATCACACACAGTCAAATAAGATTTGACTCTGTTATTGGATTGAGAATATGAGAACAACTTTGTTTATGAATTTAGTTACAGTACTGACAGATGGAAAGGACTCCTGGAAGGATAAGATAACTAACCAAGTTGTATTAGACAGGATGAACAAACAAAAGGAGGTCGTATTGAGTGTTAAAATGAGGAAACTACAATACCTGGGACATATTACACGTGGGAATAAATATCAACTGTTACAACTAATTATGCAAGGAAAGATTGAAGGTAGGCGCAGCATAGGTAGGAGAAGAATGTCATGGTTGAGAAACCTCAGGGAGTGGTTTGCTTGCACTTCCATACAATTGTTCCGAGCGGCAGCCTCCAGGGTCAAAATTGCCATGATGATAGCCAACCTTCTTAGCGGAGATGGCACGTGAAGAAGAAGAAGACTGACAAATAATTCGCCTATATGTGTTATAAAAGTAACTAAAAGAACTTAAACGAGTTTTAGGACCATTGTCTTTTCTTTAACATTTTGTTTTGCTTTGAAGGTTTTCTTCCTTGTTTGTAGGCATTAAAGCCTGTTTCTTCTTCAATATTAGATTCCTAAATTGTTTAAATTGTCGCACCATCTTTTTCTTGGTCTGCCAATACCTCTTCGTGCATTTGGTGACTTATCTCGTGGTATTCGTGTGTTCGTCCCACTCCTGTTTCCTTTTTGTCATCCACCCATTTATGTCTTCTATTTTGCATGCCTTTCTTATGTTTTCACTTCTCTCCCTATCCATCAGACTTTTTCATGATATTCGTCGGAGTACTTTCATCTCTGTTGTTTTTAGTAGTCGTCTCGTTTTAGATGTGTCAGGTCTTGTCTCCGTCATGTATGTTAATATAGGTCTAATTGCTGTTTTATAGATTATCGTCCAGATTGTGTCATTAAGAGATCCCGCCGCTTTACTTGCTTTTAAGCTTTGTTGTCTTAATTCTTCTTCAACATCTCCGTAACTAGTTAGATATCTCCCAAATGTCTAAACCTTGCTTCCTGCTTTATTATTTTCCCATCAATTTCGATTTTACATCGTTGGTATTTAGATGTTGTCATACATTTGGTTTTTTCTGCTGATATTATCATATTGTATTTCTTGACTGTTGTATTGAAGATGTGTGGTAATCTTTGGAGCTCGTTTTCTGTTTCGGCGATTAATGCGGCGTCGTCTGCATAACATAATATTTGGATTTCTTTGTTCCCCATTGTGTAGCCTTAACCTTTACATACTGCTTGTATTATTTCGTCCATTATTATATTAAGGATAAGTGGACTTAACGAGTCACGCTGTCTGACTTCGCTATGCACTGGTATACACTGTGTTAGTTTTCCATGTAGCTTTGTCTGTATTCGATTATAGAAGAAGATGTTTTCAATGGTTTGTATAATATTGATAGTATGTTTCTTTTATACAGTATGTGCAAGACGTCTTCGACTTGGATGCGATCGAAAGCCTTTGCCAGGTATATAATACATAGATATGCTGGTTTATTGGACTCGATGGCCTTTTCTGTGATTTATCTTAGTACAAATACGGCAGGTCTACGCAGGATCTTCCGGATCTGAATCCTTGTTGTTCATCTGATAAAGTTGTTAGTTTATTGTTTTTATTGGTTAGCACTCTTGTGGTAAGCTTAAGTGCGGTGTTCAGTAGATTTATTCCTCTATAATTTTTGGGGTCTTATTTATCTCCTTTCTTGTACATTGGTATTATTATGCTGTTTCTCCATGCGTCTGGTATCTTGCAATGCAATATTATCCATCACATCCACACAACTTCAAGATATGATGGAATAAATAACGTACTTTTCTCTGGTGTTACTGTTGTACCATGCATAGTGAACTAACTTATTAAGAAATAAACTTAAAGCACTGATACACCATGTGACTTAAAGGAACCGTTGCTTAGTTCTTTTAGATTATGGGTGGGGTTATCAATGTTTTGCTGTGTGACTACTGTTTTGAGTGGATCTGGCATGGATTCGTCGCTGAGACCGGAGTGACCTCGTTGAAATTTGCAATACCAACGGAAGATAGTTGACTGGTGTGATACTTCATTCTCAAATACAGAAACCATTTCAGCGAGACATTGATGTTGGAATAAACTTCTCCGAAAATATAAAAAAATGATTGCTCAAAAATGTTCTCGGCTAGATCCATTTTTCGACCGACTTGCTACTTTTAAAAATTCACTGTATCTACACGACTTATTGTCTCGCAATTAAACTCTCGATTTATGTAAACAAAAGATTGAGGTTACATTTGTGTCGGAAGGTTTTATTAATGGCGCCCTCTTAGCGGCTATGCAAAACTAAAGAGACAAACCTCGTAAAGATGGTTTCCACCTAGGACCCTTATTAGATGAGAACATTCAGAAATAATATATACGAAAGAAACAATAGGTTCCATACATCATGTTATCCTAAAAGAAGTCTGAAACACATGTAGAATTGTGGTTCACATCTTGATGCAAAACGGTAAATAAAAAGAATTGAAAAGGTGTACCTTTTTATACACACAAAAAATTGTCTGGGCAAATATCTTCTCCTAATTTGACTGAAATATTGAAATTTTTGGGTGACCTTAATGGCATCCTAGATTATTTAGCCCATTTTCAAACAAAATTTAGCGGGACACAATCGATATTTTTGTGGCATTGCGGTAAAACCTTAAAAAAAAGGGATTATGCGGGTAGTTAAACGGTTGTTTCTGACCCTGGGCGATAACAATATAACGGGAATTTTATTTACAGGTCATAAAAGATTTCTTGAGAAATATTTACAAAAATTAAACTTATATACTTTAATGTTTTTATAAAATTTGGTAAAATAAACTAAAATTAGACAAAATCTCACGTTCCCTTTTTTTGACACGTTACACTGTTACAGTCTAGGTTTGTAACGATGAAATTTATGTCCTATAGGTTGGGGATTCGGCAGTATTTTTATCAACTGGTCGACCCGATAGGCCGTACATCGGTAAAATAGAAGCCATGTGGGAACTGTGTGGAACGATGATCGTCAAGGTCAAATGGTTTTATCATCCTGAAGAAACCGTTGGATGTCCGCAAAATCTTCAGTATCCTGTAAGTAGTAGCTTGCTTATAGTGTCCAATTCAATATTTTTGTATATTTTATATTAAGCAAGGTCATAATTTCTTCAAAAAAGGTGAGCAAAGAACGATTTATGTAACGACAGTGGCATTATGTTAATGAACCTAACTACTTTATTAAAAATGGTTGTTGGTATCACGTGCTTTTAACATAAAAACGTATATAAGGAAACGTGAGAATCCCTAGATAGCTAAACATAACAAATGAGTGCACCGGACGAGGGACCAATGAAGATTCGGACGCAGGATCTTGTCGATGCATACTAAGAGCCATAAGTTTAATCGCCAATAAGGAAAGAAAAAAAGAATAAGATAAAAGTTCTTTTTCTTCTTCTTCAAGTTCCACTCCTATCGGAGATTGGAAATCATTCTGGCAATTATAATTTTATTGGTTACTCACCTGAATAGTTCAATTGAACTGCATCCAAACCATTCACGGAGATTGCGTAGCCACGAGATTTTACGTCTTCCTACGCTTCTTCTACCTTTGATTTTACCCTGCATTATATTCCTTAGTAGTTCGTACTTTTCACCTCTCATTATGTGCCCCAAGTATTCCAATTTCCTGATTTTTATGGAATTTAAAACTGCGCATTGTGTTCCTAGTTGTTCGAGAACTTGTTCGTTTGTTTTGCGATCCATCCATGATATTTTCAAAATACGTCGGTAACACCACATTTCGAATGCTTCTAGGTTTTTAATGTTGGATTTTTTAAGTGTCCAAGCTTCAACTCCATACAAAAGGGTAGAGAAAATATAACATCGAAGCATTCTTATCGGAGCGATATATTGATATCGCGATTACAAAAAAGTTTTCTCATTCTATTAAAAGTTGACCGCGCAATTTCAATGCGGCATCTTATTTCTTTTGTCTGATCAGTATCTTCTGTGATCCATGCTCCAAGGTATTTGTACGAAGATATTTGTTCAATTTCTGTATTATCTAGTACTAGCCTAACTTTGATGTTTTGTGCTTTTGTAAATACCATGAACTTGGTTTTCTTCAAATTGATTTTTAGTCCATAATCGTTGCAATATATATTTAGTTGTTCAGCAAGGTGTTGCAGTTCTTCTAGTGTTCCTGCCAGAAGGACGGTGTCGTCAGCATATCTTTTGTTATTAAGTGGCTCACCGTTTATTATAAGGCCCTCACTGATCTCGGCAAGCGCTAATTCTGAGATGGCTTCACTGTATAAATTGAATAACAAGGGTGATAAAATACACCCTTGGCGGATTCCACGGCGAATCTGGATATCCTTGGTCAGTTCGTTTTCAACTTTCACTTTTGCTGTTTGATTCCAATAGAGGTTACAGATGATTCTATGTTTTTATTTAATAAAATTTCTTTAAGTCGATTATGCTGCACTCTGTCAAATGTCTTCTCAAAATCAATGAAACATGCATATACTTCCTGATTAATATCTAAGCATCTCTGCGAAAGAACACTTACTGCAAATAGTGCATCTCATGTTCCCAGTCCTTTCCTAAATCCCATTTGTGTCTTACTTATGCCTTCATCTAATTTCTTATGTATTCTATTGTGAATTACTTTTAAAAACAATTTCAAGACATGACTCATTAAGGCTATGGTACGATGTTCATTGCACTCCTTTGCATTGGCTTTTTTGCGAAGCAGTATGAATGTTGATTGGAGCCATTCTTTAGGTATTATACCTGTTCTATATATGGTATTGAATAGATCCAAAAAAAGATCAATAGATTCAGTATTCACAATTTTAAGTAATTCGATAGGAACTTCATCAGGCCCGGGAGATTTACCACCTTTAGCTTGTTTCATTGCATATTCAATTTCTTCTCGTATAATGTCAGGCCCAGTATCATTCTTAAATTCTTTTGGTGCTTCTGTTCTCTCTTTGTCTTCAAAAAGTTGTGCTATATATTGTGTCCATCTCTGCATTTTTTTGTTTATATCTGTTACAAGTGCACCCCTTTCATCTCTTAGTTGCCTAGTTTGAAGTGTTTTTCTCATTCCTGTTAATTCTCTAATTCTTTTATGCATGTTAAAAAAGTCATATTTTTTCTCAATTTCTTCTAGTTCTTGGCACTGCTCATGTAACATTCCCTCCTTAGCTTCTTTTATAGATAAAAGTTGAAATGGTTAGTCAATGACTAATGTAAATCTGTAAGAAAACTATATCATACCCGCTAAAGAATCTCTACGTACAAAACAAATTGGTTTGTTAAAAAATGACTAAAATTTAGTAGAGAAAAACAAAGCACGTATTAACCTGCCACGAAGAGATGGAACATAACAGACAGAAACCAGGTTTAATAACGGATGCATCATCTATAGTGTCTACATAATATGTAACATTCTTTAGTTGCAGTAAGAAATATAATAGAACGCTCAGTAGTGCGGCGGCTGGTAGTTTTGGAAATTAAATGTGTTATTAAAAATATTTATTCTGCAGGACATATCGTATGTGCTAAAATAATTTTTTATCAATTTTTGTTTACATTTCATCTTACAGGAACCCTTCCTCTTACCGCATACTTGCATTGATAACTGATGTAGTTTGCTGTTGTAGTTGTTGTAGTGATGTAGATAAATTTTAATTATTGGTACTAAAAGAACTTAATAAAAACATCATCATCAATTTGCCTATATTTGTCCACTGCTGAACGTAGGCTACCCGTAAAATTTTCCACCTATTTCTATTTTGAGCTTCTTGCATCCAGTTTGTGGAGATGAGCTTGATATCATCAGTCCATCTAGTCGGTGGTCGTCCTCTGCTTCGATATGCCTCTTGCATTGGTCGCTATTCCAGAATCTTTCTGCTCCATCTATCATCCGTTAATCTGGCAACTTGTCCGGCCCAATCCCATTTAGCCATGGCAATGATAGGAAGCGTTTTCAAACACTGTTACACTATTTGAGATAGTTTTCAAGCATTCGGAACCAATCCCCCACTTCCTCCGCAATGTACAATAATTAGTCGCATTTCTTTATTTGCAGACATTTTTGAACAGCAGATAGAGTATTAAGGTATTTTCCGGTTCTTCAGTATCCAACTGAGTTTTCCAAATCCAGCCCATAAGTTCATATTTTATATTCCTGGACTTGTTCTATCTCGCTGCCATTTATAGTTATACGTCTGGATCGCCTGTGTTGATCATTATTTTTCTTTTTGTGATATTCATTTAAAGACCGAAGTATTGGGAGCTGTGTGCGAGTTCCTTCACCATAATTTGTAGTTCCTCGAATATGCTCGCTATAATCACGATGTCGTCAGCGATTCTGAGGTGGTAACTTGTTACCATTACCATATGTTGACCAATATGTAGTTTTGAAGACGTCTTCTAGGGCTAGATTAAAAAGCTTTGGAGATATTACGTCGCCTTGTCTAATTCCTCTATTAATGGGGATGGGGTTTATATTTTCGTCTAGTTCTATCTTAGTTGCGTACAATATATATATATATATATATATATTATATATATATTATATATATATATATATATATATGTTACGAGCAAAGCCCGAAATTGGGCAATCCTAGCATTGTACGGAAATTATTGTCCACTTCTAGCATTGTACCCCCAAACTGTATAATGTCCGAAATGATCAAATTTAAAAATGATTATCGAGACGCTTATCGATTATTATTGACAAGCGACACATCAAATCAAAAATCGAACATTTCTTGTTAATTATTTGATATTTTTTATTTTCTATTTTACATACAAAGTTGTACTTTTTTGAATCGACAACGTTATAAAATGCTGTGTCAAACTAAAATATAAATAAGAAGAAATTGTTCTGCCATAGAGTGATAGATAAAAGCACATAAAAGTAGGTATATAAAAAGTTCCGTTGAAGAAATGAAGGAAAGTTTTGTATTTGGCAGTGTTGTCATGTCGTTTTAATAAATCGCGAAAGAGCATGCGATATAATATTGATTAATTTTATTAAACATTATTTTTAAGTTGATAAATGAAGTTTAATTAAATTTAATTTAATATATTTCAAGTTCCAGCAACTAACTAATAGATTAATTTAGGATTTATATCGTAATTGATGTTTGTTTGTCTTTAATATCAAATGGGGAATAATCATAAAAATAATCGATATCTGTCATGTTCTTCCAAACTTTGACGTATTGCTACTAATCGACTTATTGAAATTCGAACATTGTACAGCAATTCCTTTATACAAAGTCCGACGATTATGTCTATTTCGGAGATTGTACAGTAAAGGGGTACAATGCTAGAAGTGGACAAGATTTTCAGTGCAATGTTAAGATTGTCCAATTTCGGACATTGCTCGTAACATATATATATATATATATATATATATATATATATATATATATATATATATATTTATATATTTATATATATATATATATATATATATATATATTTATATATATATATATATATATTTATATATATATATATTTATATATATATATATTATAATATTATATATATATATATATATATATATATATATATATATATTTATATATATATATATATATTTATATATATATATATATATATATATATATATATATATATATATAGTTGTCTATATCTCGAATCTATTCTAGAATTACTAATAGCTTGTTCTATAGCCCACATCTCGATATGCCTCTCCCACATCTCGAAATGCCTTTTCATAGCCTATGAAGGCAAGAAATACGAGTACTTGGTACTCATTTGCCTTCTCTACCATCGTTCTTATTGTCAGTAGATGGTCTGATATACTACATTCTTTGCGAAAGCCAGCCTGTACAATCGGTTGGTAATTATCCATTTTGTAAGTTAACTGATTGTTAATAATTCTCATAGACAGTTTGAATACTTGACTAACGATATAGGTCTAAAATTCTTTAGGTCACATTTGTCCCCTTTTTTTATGTAAGAGTACTACTAGACTTTCGTTCCAGTCTTTAGGGATTTTGCTATTATCATCTATTATATAGCTCTGTTAGTATAGGGATTGTTACTGTTTTGCTTGTTTTCAAGAGCTCGGCAATTATACCATCAGGTCCTGGAGCTTTATTATTTTTTAGCTCTTTCTATTTCGAATCCCTCTATATTTGGTATTATCTGTGATCCCACGTTTTTTATATTTCTTTTGACGTTTTTTTTGTTGATTCATGAGAGCGGCTTTGCGAGCTGTCTGTACAAGCTCGCTTTTGTAGAAGTCTTCGACTATCTTTGTTATTTTATATTTATCCTTCTCTTCCTTCCTTCGTTCGTTGTTTAGTTTCTTTGCTTATTTTATTGTCTTTAGTTTTTTTTTGGGACCTGTAGTCCGGTTTCGAGAAGGATTTTATTTATATTGAACTTATCCGCTAAAACCTTTCGGAATTCCTCTTCATGTGTTCTTACTTTAAAGGGATCTATCCGCGTTGTTTTTTTAAGATCCCTTTTCTCTTCTATTTCGTGTTAATATTGATTTACGCTCTTACTATACGATGGTCGCTACCAATTGTTATGTTGTTTATTGTTGTGACGTCGTCAACTATTCTTTTGTTGTTTAGGAGAAAATAGTCTGTTTCATTTTTGGTAGTTCCGTTAGGTGCAATCTATGTCCTTCTGTTGGGTTTCTTTTTGTAAAATGTATTTATAGCATACTTGTTTTCTTCCAGGAATTCCATAAGTTTTTCTCTTCTTGTGTTTCTTGTCCAAAATCAGAAATTTCCAATCTTGTTTTCGAAGTCTTTAATTTTTCTTCCAATTTTGGCGTTAAAATCTTCCATTATTATTATTTTAGATTCTTTGTTGTTGTCTATAGCTTTTTCAGTTGGAGCATAAACCTGAAAAATCTTTATTCTGGTTTGTGAATTTCATTTCATTGCTTCTGTTGCAATCGAATATTATGCAATCGAAATTTATGTTAAATCAGAAGTTACTGGTACCAACAGTTTTTCATCGAAACCGGATTTTTATTGTAAATTTTTGTACACATTGAAATATAATTACTATGTTTCAGCATTTAAATGCATTCGAATCTTCTTTACAAGTACTTTTTTCAGGAATTACATTTACACCGACATTGGCACTGACACTTTCTACAAAATTAGTGTTGATATCGTACGTAATACTTCCAACAATATTGTCTCACGGACACCTTATCAATAAAATAATTAAATTTCAGCAAGTAATACTATACACTACTAACCAACTCTTCCCAACTAAAATTCTTCGCAGATGCATTCGGTCGGTTCTAAGAAGGAATCTAATGGAGGCCATATACGTTAGAGTTTGCATGATGGTTTCAATCTTGCATGCATAACCGACAGGCAAGCCCTAGCGTGTATGTGATAAAACTGTAGCAACCGAGCAAATATGAAAATTCATATTTTATGCCGCTCGTTTTTATTTGCCATTTGCCTGCGAGCATTTCCTTAGCGCGTGTGGCGTTCGGCGAGTTTGCCTGCCATAGTTTTCATAGCATCACATGTTTCAGGTATTATTCGGCCCAAAACCTGAAGTGATATAATAGCGGAATATTTGAGACACTCGTATGTTCTTCCTGTTGCAAGAAATCTTAATGTTACTGCTAGTCTCTCATGTGCTGATATTGCTTTCCTCATAACAGTATCTTATCTTTGTATTAACGGAGTAATAATTGATAATAGTTTTAAATAAAATTTTTCATCCATTCGTAAATAATTTTTGTAATCTGTTGGTTTAAATCTCAATTAATTTATCCAATTTACGTGGGAGAAATGATTTCTTTTTAATAACCAGCGTTTAGATCATTCAGTGCGATCTCTCTTTTTTTTTCTTTTCTGAAGAATAATTGTTAAGCCAACCACAGTTATCACATCGTTGTCGTCCATTGTAGTTTGGCACACATCGTAACCTAGCTTAAAAGAGGGTTAATGGCAAAACTCGGTTATACCTGTTATGCATGCAAGGTTAAAACCATAATGCAAATCCTAACGTGTGTGGCCTAAATACGAGGCCGCATTTAATGCGTTCTACGATATGTTACCGCGACTATATTTCTCATAATGAAACTTATGTCTTTGATTAATTTTTATAAAATTTAATATTTTCTACTTATAGATTGTGTTACTTTTGTTTTTTAGGGAGCTCTCTTTGAATCCCCACACGTCGACGAAAACGACGTCCAGACAATCTCCCACAAGTGCGAAGTGGTGCCCCTAAAGCAATATACTGACCGCATCGGGGACGATCCTCAGAAGTATGCGGCCATTTACGACAACAATGACATTTACTATCTGGCAGGGTACTACGATCCAACCTCTCATTCTATGAAAATCGAACCCGGTATACCATTTACAAAAACAAATTAATATAAGTATATACGTTTTATTTTCGCCTTTTTTGTAATGAATGTATTTATTTTCATAAATGTTGTCTGTTGCTGGCAACTCAAAGTACAATATTTAACAACTCCTGATCAAAATTACTTAATTCTTTCTTAGCTTTCGTATCTACACTCCAATCTCGTAGTTGTATGTGTAGATATGTGTATAAGTGTTTAAAAGTCAGCTGAAAGCTTGTATGTGTCTAATTACCTAGAAGTTATCACAAAAACTATCGTCATATTTATAGAGATGTAAATTAGTGTTTGTAGATCTTTAAAGTCCATTTTTAAGTACAAAAATCGAGTAGATTTTCTACCGGTAGTAACGAATCGTTTGAACGGCGCAATATTTGTCCACAAAACATCGCAAAGCCATTTCTGTTCCACTTTAAAATCTAAGGCGTCTTTCATAGGTTTTAATAAATGAATCCAGAAAGAAATCTAGTTTGGGATGTCGAGAACTAAGAGTAACGTTGTGTTATACGTGAAGCCAAGCACTTGTCAGTACGGACTAATGTGACGGCCCCACAATCGGACTCATACACCCAAAAAAAAACCATCCAGATGATGTTTAAAAGTACGTCAGTAGTAGAAAAGTGTATAGCCATACCATACCACAAAATAAGAGTTGCGAGATACGTTAACGAATATTTGATATGTCACTACGGGAAGCCATATCCTTAATTTGTTTTCTTTCAAATATATTTTCCCATTGTCTAGGTAGATTCCGAGTTCCAAATTGGAGAAATTGCTTCACATGACGAACTTAGTCAAGACATGGTCTTTCCAATACATTTTTTAGTAGACAAAACCTGAGGTTCGACCCTTTTTTGTTAGGAAAGAACGACGTAATCATAAAAAATGACGGACAGGCGCCATTTTGTCAAATTATTTTACCTATGAGCATATGGCAAGTAATATATTATTTAAAAGGTTTTGTATCACTCAGTATGCTCCTAGATTTTTGTGCACCTGTGTGAAAATTTATCATTAATAATTTGGAAGGCCAATTTATTTTTGCAGTCTCCAACATTTGATTTATGGTGCAACAAAATCGCACAACTATCTAACATCCTGAGTGAAACAATAGCTGTCATATATGTCATTTAATAAAACTGTCGATGATATCCCATTTTTGGCAGATGTCAATTGATGTGCCAATAAATTCTGAAAGAATGTGGAAAATTGAAAAAATAAATTGACCTATTTGAACAATTTTTTAACACTGTCATCATTGAATATTGAAGCGGTAGTCATTTTAAAGGTGCGCGACTGAATCACAAAAATGTAGAAACATGGGGTAACGCAACCAGTTATTGTCACTTTAAGAAAATATCTCGAGAAAAACAACTCCACAATTAACATAATCTCCTTTCAAATAATTTCTACAAGAAAAAAAATCACAATTTCGGGAACTTTCGGACGGTGTGATGTCATTTCTTTCTTATTACACAACTGTTTTTAATAATGACGTTAGTATATTTAAGTGAAATTCGTTAAAAAAAAAACAGAAAGTACATACTAATTATTGACACGTTGCCTGCAGTTATTGAATTCGCATGGCTTAATCAGTGGCACCTTTCTGCAATATTTGTCACACGTTTTGCTGCAGTTAATGGCATCACTTTCATGAAAGTTTAGAAAATTTTTACAAGAAAAAATAAGAGCTCAAATCATTAAAAGGAGCATTACTGAATACTGCACTTTTAATAGACAGTTAGGATCTTACTTAATTGTTAAGAAACTTACCTTGTACGATGTTGTCAACAACATCTGCCTGCATCATTACCTACATTACCCATAAACAAGAGTGAATAGCGTACTGATTATTATAAAACAGCAAAAATATACGCATGCCAATAACTGGACCAGTACACAAAAACTTTCAAAGATTGTACTACTTGATATATGATCCCGTTTACAAGTATCTTAAAAAATATGCCTGACCGCCGTTTTTAATTACATATTACGTCAATAAAAGATCATGAAACGCTATGACAATTTTTCATAGTTTAGAAAACGGTTGAGGGGAAGGGGCTCATTATATATATTCTTGTTTGTATCGTTCGTAGATTATATATTAAAGTGACTACTTGGAGCTAACAACAGAACAGTGACGTGAGATTGCCGAATAAAATTTTTTATTTATTTTAAAAAGCAAAATGCAAAACTTTTGGCGATGAAAAAATAGGTTAAAGTAAAAGCCTAATTAAAACATATAAGACTGATACATAAGACGTCAATCAATGTACAAAAAATTGACTATTGTCACAAAAATATTTGTAGTAAACTACTTAAATATTGCCCGTATATTTTGTGTATTTTGACTAAGGTTATAAACTAATCTACATCATCAAATGTCATAGTTCATACACATAATCATACACTTCTTGATTACATTTTAGGAATTTAAAGAAAATAAATACCTTCATTATTAAGGCATAGGCATGTGTGCCTATACACAAAAATATTTTTCCCTTTGTAACATATAGAGGTTAAAATAATATAACGTTTTGCTGAATTATCTTTTAGCATAGACGCATCTTAAAGTTATTTCAGTTTTTCCTAAAAATGTTTATTTTTATTTACGTGGGTTTCCAGTTGAGGAGTTATCAAAGACAAAACAATAATAATTTAATACATTTCAGTTTATGGACAACGTAATTTAAACTAGTATTTGTCCTGAATTATCAACTTTTTGTCTTCCGGGTTTAAACGAAATTGTTGAATCTGCTGAAACCCTGTACTATGCAACTTTATAAAGCTGATCATTCAGGTGGTGCTGATTATTGGAGTGGTCGACTGGAGCAGTTTGATATTACTGCTGATCAAGAAAATACTCTTCTCTATTTATACCGTCCGGGTGCTTTCGGATTTCTACTGCTTCACGAGTTTTTGTAAAGTAAATTCTTGGGAAACAGACTAGACGCGGTAACAATAATCCGCTCCAACCGAAGAAACACGATAATGATGGACGGCCCGAACGAATAAGTACATAACTATTTGCAGAGTGGTTTCAGTTGATTCGCATGCGGGTAATGTATGAAAATATTAAATTAGTTCGGCGGTTGCCCCATAGATGGCGCGGCCAAAGAACTTTTATCAAACAAAAATTCACAAAACTCGCCCTTACGGTAATCAAATAAGTTTAATATTATAGTATTAATAATATAATTGTGTTGTTAATCCATTTTCTACTTTGCATAATACCAGAAGCTGGAAATCCATATTATTGTTTTGTTTGTATACGATTGAGAGTATTATTAGTATCTTGTTATTGAAAACAAAGGTGAGTCTCAGTTATATACCATTATTTTTTAATGAAAATGTGCATAAATGTATATATAAATAATTTGCTCATAAGAAAGAGCAGCTACATAAAGACAAACATCACTGTAGATAAAAAAATAATGTTGCATTTAGTATTACAACATTTAAAGTACTTATTTTCTACAGTTTTAAACTTGGTGTGCAGTGTTAGTAAGTTATAGGTTTGTAGGGCGTTTTTGAGTGACTTCCACTTCAAGAAAAGTGTTCAGGTATATTCAAGTCCAATTTAGTTGGTTGAACATAATCATTCGTAGATAAATTTGGCGGATTAGAGGTCCGGTCATTAAACACATTTACGACAACTACCAAAATAGCCTTCTAGAATGTCACTGTTGCCAAGATCGGATTAGATTTTACTTTTACTTTTTAAGTAAAGGTTCTTAATAACTGAACCATATTCCACTTTTCCAATTTACAACAATATAAAGTCAGTTGTCTGCTTTCGACAACTATTATTATCAACTAATTGTGATTTCGTTTAAACGTTTAAAAGATATCATGCTTTGGATGCAGATGTCTAAACCATTTCCACTTATTGATATCTATCGGAGACTAGATTCATCTCGAATTATCCTCGATAACTTTGTACTTTTAAAATGATCTTAGTAGATTTATATCAATTCAAAATATCAATTCTACATTTGCTATCTATTTTTCTGTTCTATATCAGAAATTATTTCGACAAGATGGAGTAATTACTTTCTTCATCCGGCAATTTGTTGAAGTTTTATTGGTAGACCTCAAAAATAGTCTAAAAATAGTCAAAAATGACACGTTCCAAGGTTAGAAAACATTTTACTTAACCATAATTTTGATTACTGAAGCTTTTGCCCGTAATTTTAGACATATTTACTAAATCAGGGGAAATGTGTGGAATAATAACGTCAAGTATCGTTTGAACTTATTTACTACTAAATTTCTCTAAAACATTCGCAACGTTAAGAGAATGTCAAAAACGATTTTTAAATTATTTAATATTTACTGTGCTATAATTTAATTAATTATATAACAGACATATTTGTGTATGAACTGAGACCCCTATTTTATTTCTAAACTTTTTTTGGGAAGAAAAAGATCTATGCATGCTCATATTTAGTATTTGTAACAATATTCTTTTGGTTGTAGAATCTTTCCAGATTAGGTTTAGTTTTTTTATTGTAAATATCTATTTTTAACATTATTATTATGAAAAACATTTTGCGTTTTTCCAAATGTGCTATCAGTTATTGTTACTTTCAGTTTTTACACTTAATCCAGAGTTCTCATTATGAAAAACGATAAAAACATAACATACAGTTGGTCCGCTGGATTTTTGTATAAATGGTATATACTTAGGTCAGACTAATAAACAGACTTAAGGTCGTGGATGAGTCCCCACGTTGGGTGCCATCTCATTGTGGCAGAGATGTCAACATATTTGTCTTGTCGTTGGATGTTGTAGTACATAGTCGTAACAGATGAATTTTTCAACATTTTTATTTCGATCCAAAAGTTATTCGTGAAAAATACACATATGCAAAGATCCAACGGACGAACAGATAGAAACAGCTTGTTTGAACATGTTTTCAAAGAAAAAAAACTGCAAACACATAGATGTTGCTATTTAAATCGCCCATTTAAGTTGCGACATAATTGAAATTTGACCTTTATGTCGCTTTTGACAGCTAGAGAAATTGATGTTTTATTGTTTGTCATATAGGAACATATTCACAAAAATCTGAAATAGTACACCTCAAACATAAATACTTTTTGATGGACTATTGTATATACGTTAGTCTTATTTTTTGCAAACTATAGCAAAAAGCACTTATACTAAAGGGGGGTTACTTGTTTATAAATACGTTGTTAGATCGCTTGGTTTTATGATATTTCTTATTGACTTTGCTACAAACATTCCATTTCCATAGACAACAAGTTATTTCGTATGTTTAACTATGTATACTCTACTATTAAGAAGTAATATTTTTGTTTTTATGAATAACTATTAAGTTTTACTTTTTTTAATACTGATTTTTAAGTTTTGCAGTTCTATGCCACGTACCACAGACAATTATTTTTATAAGCAATCTTTATTACGTTAGATCTTACCTGATCTAACGTAAGATGCCTTGTAGACTCTTCCAGTCCTTTTTGGACGACTTTGGGAAATATTATTTGTAGTAATACTCTTACAGCGAAGTCACAAACTGTTGTAATCCATACACTATCCTATAAAATGGATATTAAGATAGTTCTTTGCTAAATGTAAGATACGAAATGACGAATATTCATTTTTTACAAATTTATGGAGTCATTTTTACTGCTTGATTGAATTGTCAATCCATATTCTTGAGGTTCTTCATCTGCACACTTATTACCGTTTTTCCACCCGACGACTTGTTTCTCCATGACATTTTAAAATCTCCAAGTGATTGTTAGAAAGAATGTCCCTCATGTGTAAGGTCATGATTGCAGATCAAAGTGCGGTGTGTGAAGTTGGCTGCAGGAGAATTTTTACAATAGTTATAGATGTACAAAATTGTCTTCTTCCATAGAATCTTTAAATTCATTTGTTTTTTAATTTTTTTGTGCGAAAATAAAAACCCGTCTCATAATTTTTACCCGCACAATTACTAATGGTAAATGCGAATCCGGCATTACTTTTTCTGTATCTCTTACGGATTTGCCTGGGCAGTAATTCCCGGAAGGACAGATAAACGTCACACAATAAATGCACACTAATTAAGTTAAAGTTAATTAAAGTGTTTATTTCAATCTTATCACCTACCTTAGCTATTTGTTTGAAAGTTACCTTATTTTCAGTAGGGCTTACCACGCCGAAAAAGAATTGTCTGACTTTTTGGTGAAAGTGCAGGATTGATAATTTGCTAAAATAAGTATGGAATGGAGCTACATCCTCGACAACAAAATTCGTAGACAATCACAAACTAAATGAACTGATGAGGGAAAAATCATAACAAGGAACGGATTAAAAGCAGTCTGCTATATTGAAATATATTAGGAAAGCCTAGTTCCACTAGTGATATATGATGATAATACAAGGTACATATATTCCTGTA